AGGTTGCTGCACTGAGGGTATTATTTTAAGTTGTTGTTGCACAGTAGAAGTAGCAGGAGAAGAAGTTACTTTAGAAGCTGCAGTAGCTGGTTGTCGTTTTGAAGCCATTTTAATTTATCTTCCTTTCTTCTTAAAAATACCAATAAAAATAAGTAATCCAAAAAAAAAATTAAAAATAAGATAAAATAGAATAAGATAAGATCAATCTAAAAGTCCCCAAGAATAAAAAAGTAAAAAAAGTAAAAAAAAGCAATATTAAACAACAATTCAGCCGATCCGTCTTTTAAAGGAAAAAAAAACTTTCAAAACGCCATTTTACTTTCACTCTCACTTTTCCGCCCAAAAAAAAAAAAAAAAAGAGAAAGCTCAAAAAAATAAAAAAAAAATCAGCAGATACTAAATAAACTAAATAAACTAAAAAAAATAAAATAAAGCTAAACTATAAATAAAATCCTTTAAACAGTTCTGTCCGGTTTAAGATTACTCACGGTTTCTTTAAGTACGGAGATGGTAGCGGCGTCTCGCTTTGTTTCCGAAGAAACAAAGACAGCTGAGAGGCGGAGAAGGCAATGAACTCCGAGGGAACCCTCTTTCTACCCCCCTAAAAATAAAAATCCAGGGAGAGTTAAGAGGTTCTACCTCTATTCATGCGATCTCTACCCCTTCCCTTCGCCCGGGAAGGGGATTGCGAGCCGCGGGCCAGCTGATAAACGCTGTGCTCCGCGGATCTGACACCTTCTCAGGAGGACGGCTACAAAGTAGCCGCCATCTCCACCGCTTTGACCACCGGAAGTCCTAGATATCTTGTTATTTTTATTCAATGGTTTACTAATCGGATCTCGGATAATGTTTGCCTCTTTTGTTTAAAGTAAATCTGTTTTAGAGAAGGTCTTTCATCAGACTGACCTCATGCAAAGCCACCTATATTCATTTGAGTGGTCTGTGTAGTTCAGAAGGCAAAATTCACACAAATATGGAAGAGAAAATATAGCCTTAGAGCAAGATAAATACCAAAAGGCCACAATATTACCGTGAAAAACTGCTTCCAGACGTTGTGGGTGCTCCAACGCTGGAGGCTTTTAAGAAGAGACTGGGCAACCATTTGTCTAAAATGGTATAGGGTTTCCTGTCTGAGCAGTGGGCTGGGCTAGAAGACCTCCAAGGTCCCTTCCAACTCTGTTATTCTGATTGCTATTCTATTCTGATAATAACATTTAGAACCTCCCTGTCAAATAATGATTTATGTATGGTTTACATACATCTAATTTATTGATTAATAAACGTGGGGTAAATGTGTAACCAGCAGGTCTATAAAACTCTGTACAAAGCTTAAAACTATTAAGTTTACAATTTATCTGTTGATGTACTCAACTGTCCCTAAGCTTCTTCTAAAGACTAGTGTAGCCACAATTCTGAGAAAACAGAAAACACACACAGGAGTGAAACATCATGCATCCAAACAAACAGTTCTCTCTCTTTTTAGCAATACCATGATATACTATAGACAAGAAACTGTTGTCTCAGATCTGCTTCCTCTCTCAGCTGCCCAGTTTTGCCTTGTCAAAGGAATGTAATAGGTGTTATCCTACCATCGGCATATAAAATGATTACGACTGTAGGCTAGAAAACAACAACAACAATTCACTCCAACTCATTCTGCAAGTAGCATCAGGGAAACTATTTGTAGAGCTGCAATTTTTGGTAGCATATCAGTTATTAAGCTTTTTCCAATGATAAAATATCTCTCCCTTTCAGAAAGATCATTTTAAGAGGTAGTGTGATATAATGGTTAGATTGCTGAAAACTAGCAGATTTAGGATCCAGTCTCTGTGGGTAGTTTGAGCCAGTCAGGATCTCTCAGTTGAACTTTCTCATGGGATTGTTCTGAGGATAGAGGTGGAAGAAGCATATTATATATGCTATCTAGAGGGATGATGGGATGGGTATCTAATAAATAAGAAAAAAAAATTCCTTCCAGCAACCAATCAATAAAATCCTTAAGGACAAAATAATTCAAGCAGGAAGCAGATGCAAGGCAGAAAAGCAGGTGCAAAATAGACAATTGTGCCAACTACAAGGTTACAACCAAGAGAAGACAAAGGGACTGGGATTTCTAGTTTCATGTAAAGCAACAGCTCCCTTTACAGTTAGTCCTGCCAGGAATCATAGTTCCCTCTCTGACCATTAGTAGAAATCACTAAATTAGGCAGAAAAGTTAAACAACAATGTTATTGAGAAGGGACACAGAATGCAATCTATGGATCAAATTTCTTACTAACCATAGAGTTTTCCTACAGAGCAGCTACACATGCCTCTAGCATACATATAGACCAGGGTTTTTCAAACTTGGCCCTTTTATGACTTGTGGACTTCAACTGCCAGAATTCCTCAGCCAGGCATGCTGACTGAGGAATTCTGGGAGTTGAAGTCCACAAGTCATAAAAGGACCAAGTTTGAAGAACCCTGATATAGACCTTGACTTATGACCTCAACTGGGATCAGAATTTCCCTTGCTAAGCAAAGCGGTAGTTAAGTGAGTTATGTGCAATCTTATGACTTTTTGGTATGGTTGTAAACTGAATCACTGCAGTTGTTAAATCAGTGATGTGGTTATTAAGCAAATGTGGCTTCCCTTATTGACTTAGATTGTTGGAAGCTGGCTGGGAAGGCCACAAATAGGAGTCATATGACCCTAAGATGCTGCATGTTGTAAATACATGCTGGTTGTCAAGCATATAAAATGTTAATCACATGACCATGGGGATACTGCAATGGTTGTAAGTGCAAGGTCCGGTCATAAGTCACCTTTTCCAATGCTATTGTAACTTTGAACCATTCCTAAATGAATGGTTATAGGTTGAAGGCTGCTTGTATTTGCATCTATCATGATAAATCAATTAAAGCTTCAGATTTCATAAAACAAAGGTAAAAGTGAACAGGAAAATCGTTATGCCCATTCCTTTCCATCTAAAGAACAGTGGCAGGAATTCATAGGTCTCCCCTGTCCTCAGGCTTTACTTTATTTTCATCTAAGAAACATCTTTCTTCCACAAAGCATGACACATAACTTCCCTTTTTGAATACTGTTCTGGAAATACAAAAGTCTTTTCTGTAGTTCATGGATCTCTTCTCTTCAATTGCAATATCCCAAGACACTGTATTTCATCTCATAGCATGATTCCCTGCATGTGGAAGGGTAGCTTTGGTATGATTTGAATGAGAGACTGCCTAGGGCAGACATGTCAAACCCGCGACATCATGAGACGTCGCACAACGTATCGGGCCGGTTTTGTCATTGCCGGCATTGGGGTGGGCGCAGCTTCAGTATGATGAAGCTGGCCCATGGGCCGGCAGTTTGACACCCTTGGCCTAGGGCATGCTGCAAAAATCAAATGCAGACAGAATCCAAACAGAGCCTAGCCTGCGGTTAATAGACAGATGTGCAGAATGCAACCACCTCGACATCATCTGCCCTTCCCTTCCTTTCATAAGGACAGCGAAATTAACTATGAGTATGCATATGAAGTGGAGCTGGAGGGTGGGTGGGGGCTAATTTTCCAGGTTGCCTTGAGGAATATAAACTCAATTTCCTAAAACTTCAAAGAAGAAAAATGTTAGCATGTGATCTGAGAAAGTCAGGACATGGAAAAGTTTTGAGAATTTATGAAGACGAAAAATAAAGAAAAACACATTCATTGTGGAGATTGTTTCTGAATAGTACTTCATCACTAGGTATTTGAACAATCTCAAGAAAAGCCAGTCATCAATTTCAAAAACTAAGGCAAGCATTAATGACGCATAGACAATCTACTTGGTGGTAGGAGAGGGGAGAATTCAGCTTTCTGCCATAAGATTTCATAGGTTAATCGTATAGTCTGAACAGCTATGGTTACAAAGAATGAGTGTGGTGTTTTTCCTTAGTACTCAACAAGCTGTTCCTTACCACAAGAAATCTCTTAATTATTTGTTTAGGTACAAGCTTTCATTCCTTAATGAACATAAATAATATAAAGTAACAAAGCAAACTTTTATAGAGGGATAGACAGAAAGACAGATAGAGAGTCTTTGAAATTGATTTTTAGCAATTTGGCAATAGAGCTGCATCTAGATTGCTGGGCTGTGAATTTTGAACTTGTACATAAGGATTGCCAAATCCATCCATTTTCTTTCATTCTTTTCTATCTCTCCCATTTATCACATATATTAACTTTCCTGAGTTAATACTTTTCTTGAACTCATTGCCCCTTCTTCTTAATGTTATACTGTTGTAGTTCTTTCTCCAGTCTTAGAATCTTTTAATTCACTTTTAGGACTTAGTTCAGATACAGGCCCATATCAAGCATTATTAGTATTATTAGCATACCCAGTTCTATGTAAACAAACACTGAAGTAATCCATCCATGCAGCATCATATAAATAGTTATATTTGAAATACTGCACTACAGCTTGATATCATTATAAATCAATCAAAGAAAACGCAGTGGCTACTGTATTGCATTAAAAAAAAAATCTTTGTTGGGATTCACCAGAAGTCAGAATCCTGTATAAAAATCTAAGGTGCATTCATAGTGGAAATTCTACATGTAAAGTTGCAGAAAGTGGAAAAAAAAGAATAATTAAAATGATCTAGGTCACAGAAACAATCCTCTATAAAAAAATCTTGCATTAGTTTTTAAACAGAAAAAGGTAGAGATATGAAGTAGATAAAATTGGGCATGATGTAAAGGAAGTTAATATATGTTAGTTTACCCTCCTCTCTCATATTACAACTTGGGATCTTCCAATAAAGCTGAACAATTGGAGATTCAAGATAAAAGATTGTATCTCTTCACACTATGTGCACTTAAACTATTGAACTGGACGTTTTTAAAACAGGATTAGATAAATTCATGGAGATAAGGCTCAGTGACTACTATCCTTGAAACCTATATATTGTCACAAGAAAACCCAAGTCCCCCCAAATGTCCCAAAAGTATGTGGAGAAATAACATCTATCTCACCTCTGTGTACAATGGTTCATAGATATCCACTCCATTATCCTGACTATGGGAAAGAGTCTCGGAACCCCTTCTCCAGATGAAGCGAGCAGGTGGATTAGAGCTGACTGTGCATCGAAGGAAGACTGTCTTCTCATGATAAAAACTCCCTCGAACATCACTGATAGTTTGATGGACAGTAAGGACAGGCTTGTCCAAATCTGCAAAGAAAAGAAGGAAGGAGGGAATCCACAGAGATTGTTGATGAGATTTAGGTCAGAATGTACAAAGTCTATGGATCACCCAATGCTTCAGATATATAGGAAAGCATACCACCAAGCATACCAGTAATAGGATCTATAACAAAGTGATACCTCTTTAAAGTAAGGCTAGTATCTGTTAAGTATCTGCATAACCTCTGAGCTTTTCTAAAACAGCTAAATGAGGAATAGGATAAATTGCTTTTGCCAGATTGATCAGTAAATACTACAAGGACTGCTGTCTGTAAATTATCTGGTCCCAGAAGATTGGAAAGCTCATTTGTCCTGGGGCTAGTGAACATGTCACAGAAGTCCTTTGAATAAATTGTGCATTCTGTTGTCTTTTAGCAAGCCAGATGGCGAAAGAAAACAGGAGATAGACTATTTTTAACTTGGCGTATTGATATTTTAAGCACTATGTCCGGCTTTGTGCCAGTTGATAAAATTCAAGTGCTTTGTATTTTGTCTGTCATTGTGGAGTGGAGATCTTTAATAATGCTTGTGAAAACTTGATGCCAAATCTGGTTGTTTCTGCTTAGCTGCCAAATGCATCTTTTTATCCCTTTTATTCTACTAATGATACTTTGTAGTTTCTTTAAACTGCAGCTTCTCTAAATTTGAATGAAGTTCTTGCTCTACCAGTTGAGGTTCCAGTACCTCAGAAAGATTAAAGATAAGCTTTAATCTTTCATCTTACATGGTCTCTCAACTAGAAAGGCATTTTAAATATCAGTTTCTAGCTAACCCAAATTTGCTCACCCTTTTACAAATTTAATATTTTAAATTAGTTTTTTTGTATATGGTTTGCAATAATTTGTTTCTACATCTTGGTTAGTGTCATGTTCATGCTAGACTTGGAGTTGATCTTTATTTAGTACAAAATCAGAACTTTAAGAGTTATTCTTGAATCCCACTATTGAATGCTCCTCCATTCAAAAATCTTCATGCAAACAAAAATTAATCACAATGAAAAGCAATTTGAGCAGGACCTGCTCAAAACCCCACAAGGGCAATATCTTTATTTGCTCAACCAATATTTTATCATCTCTGCAAGTTTTTGTGTTTCTTAAAAATCTTTATCAGCCTCAAGGAATGCAATTTGGATGTTGTTCAATACAGCAGGGTGCAAAATGTTTCTGAATTATAGCAAGGGTTTTTATAAAGATATAGCTCTCTGAAGATGCTGGCTGTTATTTCATGTAAGAGGCTGAATAATATATATTAGCCACAAATCTCATGTTCATTTTTCTGCTTTTTAACTATTTCACTTCATTAGAACTTGTAAGAAACTTGAAAGCTTGCAGTTAATACTAATATTGCCTCTATAGATTGTTTTTATTTCAATTTTTTCCTGGCCAACTCATCTATCATTATGGAAAAAGTATAACTCAGTAGCTGGGCATATTCTTTAAATTCAGAAGAGCCAAATTAATTCCTTGCCATCTCCAGATAACATTGAAACTGCTTCCTTATCAGAAAACTTAAAGTAAACAATATCTTTTGGTGAACCAATGACCAACCTAGTAAAAAACAGTCTTCTTTGTCTCCAATACTATTTTTACATGGGACAAAATTCAATATTATGAGTTTCTGCTCACTGTGTGAACCAAAATCCTGCAGGTAAGACTCAATATATAATTCTGTTAATGACACTAATTCAGTGCATCATAACAAGACTTCTGTTCCCAAGATACCTTTCAAGATTGAGTGGATTAAAGGAGCAAAGAACCCTTGAATCAAATAATATAATTCTTGCCATCCATTTAGGTTCCCACTTCATTTAATGTTCTGCTAATGAGGAGAGACAGAGCCAAACCAGATTAATGAAAGTTGTCAATGTGCATCATATGTCCCTGCTTTCAGACAGTTGAGTGTGTGTGTATTTGTGCACTCTAGGGTTGGGGAGATGGATAATCATTAAACTCAGTGGAGAAAAAATCCAGATGTACGCTAATGAGAACCAAATGCAGAGCCTTTGTAAAAGAGAAAAGTCCTTGCATATTTGAAACATGTGACCACAGAGCACACGAAAGCTCCTTTTTTCTTCCATAAAGCTCTTATATGCTATTGAAATTTAAAATATTGATTTAGTTATATATAAGTCTGTAAATCTGGTTTCAAGACAAGATACTACTTTCAACTAAAAGCAAACATTTTCCATTAGACATGTGCCTAAACCAGTTAATTTGCATATTTTAATGAGGCACACATTTTGAAAAACCAATATTTGTAATAAAAGTTGAGATTTGTTAGTCTGATAATACTAGAAGTGTATTCAAACGCAAGGGCAGATTTTTTTTTTTTTAGCCGAGTAGTGATATTGAAAATGGCAGAGGAAAACATAAAAGAGATGTAGAGCCAGATTAGAGGGACTTCATAAATACTTTGTAAGGACTTTCAACCAATATATGCTAACCTTTATTTCACTACTCCAGTTAATCTAGGCAAACTTCTTTAATGTTACCTTCCTGGATGATTTCTAAATAAGCACCAGGACTCCATTTTCCTTTATAAATCATTTTTTGAGTTCCTACAATAACCCCTGGATTGTTAGGCACAAAACTATTCATGCCAATGTATACAAAAACTCTTGTTTACATTAATGGGAGAATGGGGTCTTTCTATAGTAGCTAAATATTTATGTTCTTTTCCCAAGTGCTTTGTGATCACATCATTCAAGTGAGAAAATATGGGTATTGCTATTTGTTTCCTCTGCATTTTGATCTTCCTTTGCAGCAGTTCCTACTTGGATGGGTTTCAGAATTTTTCTTTGCCTTGTTCCTTCCACAAGCTAAAGAAAGAGAAAAAATATCAGTGACAATGAAACAGCTGAACAATGACATGCAAATAGGACAGCAATAAAATCCACCTGATCTAAGTCTCAGTTATCTGCTGCCTAACTCTCATTCATTTTTGATGCTGTGAGAAGCAGTTATAACAAGGTGACTTACCCTTGGCCATTTCACTTGGAATTTTTTTCTGCCCCAAAACTCTTAGTGTAATAAGTTCTCACCTGCATTTCATCCCAGAGACCTTTAATTTCCTATCAGTCTCCAGTGACAGCTCTAATCTCTTACCATACGCTTTAGAGTATTTTTTTTTGGGGGGGGGGGGGGAAACCTCACTGTGTCAAAGTGAATGATTAAAATAAGTTGAAGAGATTTAAGCTCATCATATTTAAATGTGCAAACTGTGTCAGAGGCTCCTTTAATTCAAGTTCATGCCTTTTATTATCTTAAAGCCAACTTCTCCCATCTAGTATTCACTAAGTCTATAGGAACTACAAGCCCCAAAACTTCCTGACCTGCTCATGTGATGCCACTTTCCTCATCCATAAATAGATGCCTTGGAGTCAGTGTTAATTTCTGGTGAGTTGCTGTAAAAACCCTGCAATTTCCTTGGTAAGATTTTGGAAGTGATTTGCTGTTGCCTCCTTTTTAGAGCTGAGAGAGTGATTGGCCCAAGGTCAGCCAATTGGCATTATACAAAAGGGCAGGACTAGAACTCAGTCTCCAATTTTCTAGTCTGATGCTAGTAAATACTACACCACTACACCAAACTAGCTCTTTCATCCTTTCTTATCATCCTTTCTCATCCTTATTTATCCTGATACCCAAACCAATGCAGCTAGTTGCAAGTTCACCAATGGCTCTTCCAATCTAAAGAAATCTGAGTATAAAAATTGCCCTCTTCAAAAATTCTGAAGAAAATCATAATTTTACTGAAGAATGCCATCTTCCTTGTTTTCCAAGTGGTCTCTGAAAATAATAGAAGAGCCAGGAAGTTTTTCCATGCCTGCAGCAGTTTGCAAGTGTCCGTTCTTTTCAATTAATCCTCAGCATGTCTCAGCAAAAAATAAAAAAAGGAATCAAAGTATTAAATCTACTGATGACATTAGAAATGGTGATTATGGAAAGAATTGTACTTATTTTTTTAAAATAATATTTTTAAGTATTGAAAGCACTTCATCTATCTCTAGCTAGATGCACTAATGCCTACAGTAATACAAATTTTAATAAAACTATATCAGAGCTTAATTCAACCCACCGTTATTAGCTTGCCAACTGATACAACCATGTGGGTTGTTTCAATATCAATATAACTTTTAAATGTCCCCACTTTCCATCTGGCTTTCCTATCTCTTCCTCCCAGCATGGAAAAGCTCCAAGGAAAAGCTTCCATGATTAATAACAATATCTGGGGACTTTGTGCTAGTGCTGGCAGTTTTCTCGATCTTCAGCAGGCCTGTTTTGCTGGCATCAGCTGAACTGTAGCAGCAGTTTGGCTGACTTTCTTCTACAAGGATTTATATGAAACTTTGAAACATTTTACATGAATGAACGGGTAACACACGACCTGATTTTTTCTGAAATCTGAAAGCTGCTTAGGAATTTGGTCGAAAGATTGAGTAATTTCAATTTCAATCTACTATATGTGTACCGAAAAAATCTCAGGAACAAAGGATCATGTTTACAACTGGTCTGAACTTCCCTTGATGGCAGTATAGTCACATCTGAAATCTGTGGCTAGTACTATACAGGCAGTTCTTGACTTATCATTGCAATTGAGCCCAAAATTTCTATTGCTAAGTGAGACATTTGTTAAGTGAATTTTGCTTCATTGATGATCTTTTTTGCTGCAGTTGTTAATTGAATTACTCCAGTTAGTAGCATGGTTATTAAGTGAATCTGGCTTCCCCATTGACTTTGCTTATAAGAAGGTTGCAAAAGGTGGATCACATGATCCCGGAACACTGCAACCTTCGTAAATATGAACCAGTTGCCATGCATACAATTTTTTGACCATGTGAACATGGGAACCCTGCAATGGTCATAAGACTGAAAAATGGTCATAAGTCACTTTTTCATTGCAGTTGTAACTTTGAACAGTCACTAAACGTACCGTTGTACGTCGAGGTCTACCTATATTTGCGTTTTACTTTCTCCAAGTGTCAGGAATGA